TTTTGCCAACTAATTTCTAAAACACATCGCTTTTTTCACGCATCAAACTTCAAGTTCAGGAACCAACGTTCAATTGTGAGTCGCAGTCCGACACTTTGCAGACCCCTGGAAAAGTGTCGGAAATAAGCGGCCAACAAGTTCAACCCAGCACAGCAGCACGTGGCTGAACTTGACCAACACCCAGCAGGCCTACCCGGCGCGGCATGCCCGGTACTCACCAAGACGGTGTTTTCGTAAGTGAGTTTGTCCTTCTCTAAGCCCCCAACTGCGTCATAAACAGATTTGGTGTTCTTAATGAGATCTTCAGCTTTTGTCTTGATGCCATCTGGGCTCAAGTCCCAGCGAAGTCGGTTTTGTTTCAGCAATTCTGATGCCATTTTCCCCGATAGCTGTAAGCTTCGAACAGTACTGAAAAGGAATGCGTTTCTTGTGTACTACGAGAGTTTTAGAAAGACGTCAAAGACATGCTTTAAGAATAAACTTTTTAAAAATCCCTGGTAAATAACCACTTTTGAATTACTACGTATTACATTAGTACGTTTAAATCTATTATGTATAAGTTACTCAATTTATTTTGTTCAATTATTTCACTTTTATAGTTATACGTATCGGTGATAAAATTATACGAACGTCTAATTTGAATCACCGTAAATTAGTATGTGACGCTCGGTGCATGGCAACCACAAAGCAGGTGGACAGAGGGCGCCGTTTGGTCATCCCTGAACACCTGTTATGACCAATTAATCTTCGGTTACTGTATGTACATGTACAAATAGCAAGAGCGAAACCTGTGCACGGTGTCTTAGATGATTCACTTTTACGAAGTCTTGCATAGAGATGACGACTGGACAAATTATCGAATAAGACAGAATAATTTAAACTTTAATTTAAACAAAAATTATAGCAACTCGAAACAATATTCCTTTACCTGCAGAATTTTCCAACAAATTCAACAATGTTTTGGATGTCAAATTTTTCCAGTAGTTCATGAATGACGCAAAGTGAGAAAATCATTCTTAAAAGGTGGCTTTTTTGGTGAAAGGGGAAAAAAAAGAAATCAAGATTTCTTGAACGAGCGACCAGAGGGTTCCTGCACGAATACAATTAGTGTACTGCCGCCGCCCTTGCAAAATGCTTAAATGCCAAAATTGTTCCTGGAGAGGTTGCCTATTTCAGCTGTGCTGGAGTCCTGTCAAAATGTGATGATGCAGCTGATGGAATGGCAGGAAACCTCGCCCCACTTCCATCCCACCCCTGAAGAAAATATACCTCTATACGTTTGACCATAGAGGAAGGAAAACTGAGTTAACAAAGCGCCTTAAAAAGTGAGACATCCGAGTGCTCTCTGTCAGACCATGTTTTGCAACACCAAGATTGTCTCCATGTTCCGTTTACAAATCAAGGCCCCTTTTTTCTAGATCTGAGCTTACATAATGCAACTACTCGCATTGGCGAAGGCAAATAATTCTCAGACAAGGGAAAGGACAACTTAAACCCCAGCGATTTCCCTGTTACCTTGTCGTTCATTTGTTTGTTTGTTTGTTTACTTTATGCAGCTTCAACAAGCGACCGTCATCAGTTTTTATTGTTTTTATTTCTGCACCGAAACATAAAACCCTGTTTGTCTCATTCGAACTATTTCACCACTGTTTTTTGCCGCTGCGCAATTATATTTTCTTAACACACAGACCAAACCAAGCAGAAACTGAACTCCACTCCATTACAGACAAAAGAGTTCATACCTGGCTTTCAAATGCCCGCCCATATAATAATTCTGTGGCCCCATGCATGAACCTGATATGCCTGTTTAATTTTTAAACTTTTTGAGTTAGATGCATGAATGTGTAGGGTAATATCATATCTTTATTTGCTAAAAATCTCAACAGCTAGGATGGCCTATTTTTTTGAATAGAGGGCGGTATTATTCTAACCAAACAGAACATTCCAAGAAGCAAAAACTTCTCAATTTTTTCCAATTACATGTCTGTATGGCAAATAAGGCTCATGCATGGGGCCACAGAACTGTTTTCTACCCTTAAATTCTGATACTTTAAAAAATTGTCTGAACTTCAATTCAAAATACACCAAAGGCAACGGGTAATACAAAGGACACACAATACCAACAGCAGAATCACTTCTTTCTTTTCTTTTTTTTTCAATTTTTATTGTCATATAATCCTGTATAGAAAGAGGGCCCACAGTCTATTTCATTAAACAGATTATCCATGTCTCGATAAAAGAGGTTTGAAGGTCCCCATTACAGTTAAACATATAAAATAACCACACACACAAATTTCATTTTCAGATGTTTTTCTTGAGGTGGTTTTCAATTATGTACTGGCCTTTGATTGGTGTAACACAATGTCGACCTCGTGTACAGAAAAGTTTATTACCACGAATATCATGTCCCATCTTAATAATCTTATGACATACAAACGTCGATAAAATACCTCCACACAAAGTTGGCATTCACTTTACTTTATTGAGTTTGAAACACGGAAACTCCAAACACATCCAGATCATTAAACAGAATGGTTTTACATTGGACGTGACAAGTCATGCAGTTTGACATGGACTTTGATTACAAGCTAAGGTACAACATTTATGTGAGGTCAATTTTTTCAGGATGTAAAGAGAAAACTAAAGATAAATATTCAAAGTTCCAGTGGTTCAAACATGCTTCGAATGAAAAATCAACATGGATGAAAATCCTTTTATATTTTTTTTACAATACCTGAGAAACATCTAATAAAAAACCTCAATTAAACGAGCATTTCTGCAACACAACACAGGTTCAGTAATGCTGCCTCGCAGTATAATTTAAACCCAGGAGTGTTGTTTCTTTTCTACACTTTGTTACAATCTTCATGGGATTGATACCCATGAAAACAATGCTCAAATGAATACATCGGCTATTGTGACGATCAGTTAATTTAAGGAAACAAGTATGATTGATGCATGTACAACACTAGAATGAAACATATGACACAACACAACACGTAAGCTTTTAAAACATCCTCAACAGCTGTAGCAATCATGGGTGGGAAAAGATACAAATTGTGTCTTCGTTTGCAAGTTTGAAATCAAGTTGTTAACAGAGAAGAGTACCAAGCACTGCGAGTGAATTCCTAGAAAAATATACCTCCACTTAAATTAAGACTTGCAATGTTATGTACAGTGTTAACGCTTTGGCTTCACTACGTTCATTTAAATTTGGCATTTGAGGTTTGAACACAGCTGGGCTATAAGGCAGGTTTCAGAAATGAACAGCGAGTAAAAGCAGGAAAAACATCGGCAGCAACTGCTGAGGCTGACAGTCTACAGGTCTACCCTTGGAAAGATGCAACTTAACTCAGACTCACGAGAGGTGAAGGAAAGTCACCAGTGACTCCACTGGGCCACATAGCTCTTTATCATTATAAATCACAAGTCAAGCCTGTATTGCTTTCTAATTTGGGTTAACTTTAAATTTTGAGATACTGTACAGACAAATTTTGTTATTTTGACTGGGAAGTTTCAGGTGAGGGTTTCAGGAGATGAAATCTGCAAAACTGCTGAATGATTTTAAGGGCAGGAACTTGGGTCAACATTGGTCTTTGACAGGAGGGAAAAAAAGTGTTCTTCAGCATTGAGTTTAGAGAAACAAATTGTTTCCCTTTACAATGGGCACACTCAACCTGATGGCTGAAAAACAAGCATAAAAACAAAGGTGCTACATTCATATATTTACAAATGATTTATAGAATACACCATGAAAATGTATCACAAAAGATTTCAAAACAATTATTCCTCAATAGATTTTAGCATACTCTTCTTTAAAAAGTGAAATAATACTGACTATAGATACAAAAAGAAGTTTTCATTATTTTGGCAATAAAAATCACACCCCCATGTGGTAATGGTCCATTCCTTGGGGCCACTTCTCATTCCCAGGCCAAATGTTGGCCAGACCAACCCATTTTAAGTAGGAGGTAGGATATAAATTACAAAAACAAGACAACGCTCCATATTACTCAGATAAATAATTCAGTGTGATTTGGTTCAAACTTCTATGAAACCCAACTAACCCTCAAGCAGGAATTAATTAAATGTGAGTCTTCCACACACTAATTTTTTTTCAAGAAATGAGTTCTTCCGACAAGTTGTGGGGCAGTCCAACAAGGCATGTGTCACGTCAGGTATTACAAAAACAATCATCTCAGCAATTCGGCCACACTGAGGGCCTTACGACGCGTATTCTAATCAAATGCATCCAACATGCCGTGACAGGTGTTCGTCCATTTAACAATCACAGTGGATAAAAAGCTGAAGCACTTCCTCCATGACATCTTTTACAAGATATAAAAATCACAATGCCTGGACTATCCAGGAATACAAATAAAAAAATCCTCTAGTCCCAGCCATGGCTTCAGTATATACAATAACAATCCTATACAATGTTTCTTAATTACAACTTGGCAAAAAGTTACTGAGTCTTATAAAATAATATAATAATTATAAAACAAACATCCATCTCAAAAAACACATAATTTGTGTATTTATAGTTTGTTTTTATATATATATAAAACGAGGATGCCAATCACAGTAAAGACGGCAGTTTTGGCCAGCATGACTGGTGTGCCATTACATACAAAATTGCTTTTTAATATACACACAAAAAAACGCCTCCACTGTCGTGTGGGTTTCTTTTTCCATTATTAATACGATACACATAAGGTTAACTTGCCTTATTAGCATAAATAAATATTCATAGAATCTTTACACTCCAAAGTTACGTAAAACATAATCTGTACAGGGTGTTGCTGCTGCTAGCACCTTGGCAGTGTTGGGTGGAGTCAAGTGGGTCAGGGTGTCAAAAGTTGACATGCCTGGGTCAAGTCTTTCCCCTGATGTACCCTCCTCGCAAGCTGTGTTCATAAAACTGGCCATGAAAATAACTGTGAGACAAATCAGAGAGTTCAACAGTGAGTTTGAGGATTCGTTCGACTGATATAAAACCCAGAGCCTTAACTTCAAAAAAGAGGTAAGGGGCATCGCTGTGGCACTCATGCTAGGTCTGAAAAGGGGTTATTCCACCTAGCAAGTGAAGCTGGACCAACATCAATTTCTCCCTTTTGACCCTGGCTGTGCAGACAGAGGGATTCAACACTAAGTCTTCGTGCTTGCAAACACATCGCCATTCTCCCAAATACGCTGTTAACAATAAAGTGTTGAGATCTCTTTTATACAGTGTTTCAATTGTCATCTGTCATTCTCAATGGCCAGCCTCCACATTTCTCTCCTAGCTCCAAAAGTAACCATGCAGATTACACCAGTCAATAGAAATGAATAGGTGTGGACGTAAAACGGTTCATTGCACTTGTGGACAACAAAATTGCATTCTTACACGTCAACGACTGCACAAGCCACCTTGAGTATGAAGGAACGTGCACAAAGATTTGATTTTAAGTTTTACTGAAGACCTCTTAAATGGTCCAAAATGTAAACGGTCAAAATGTCACAGGTTAAGATCCCGTGTGCATGAATATCATAAAAAGGGTAGGGGAAAAAAAAAGGAAACAATGAGAAGATAGGGGCAGATCACCAGTTTCCAATAAAATGGCTCGGAACTGATCCCTTTCCACTTTTGGTTTGTCAGGCTCATACCGTTGAGTAAATTTTATTCCCTTCCAAGAAAGCCTCATTTCAATTTCTTGGGAATGCCTTTGCCTATAATGCATAGTCTGATACTACATGGCATTGCAAGCACCCTTGGGTTCAAGGTTGCATATCTCGATAGTCCCCAGTTCAGCACACCATCTCACCTTATTATTTACACTTGAGAGTCAGAGCTACCGTCATCCCTCTCTCCTTTGTCTTGGATCTCCCTCATCTTGTTGGTACCGCCCCCCTTCTCCCAGTCTCTCCGCCTCTTGTGGTACTTGTAGCTGTCCGTCCGGTCTCCACACCCTACACCGCCACCGCACACGGGGTGCAGGATGGAGACTTTGGCTGTAGCCGTCACCGTAGTGACATGGTGCGGCATCTGGGGGGAGGGGCTTGGCGAGGAGGAAGAGGAGGAGGTGTAGTGGGGCATGTTGGGGTGGTGAATCCTGGGCGAGCGCGGCCACTGATGGTGCGGTCGCTGTGGCTTCCACTGTGGGTTTGAAAGGGAGAATAAGAACGACTACAATGATACGCAAAGTGAATTAACAAACACCTCCCTCCTGCTTGTGTCTGGGATACAGACACAAATGCACAATCAGTGCTAATAATGTAATGATCTCAGATAACTAAGGGTAAACCAGAGCCACTGGACCAGGTCAGGTCATTGGCCGATTACACTTGCAACATGAATTCAAGTTGCCAATAGCATAGGACATCTGAGCACACATTTCTGGCTTTTCGTACACAGAACTTACTTGAGGCAATCTGCTAATCCATGCACATGCAACAAATGATTTCAATCACCAACAGTGGTGTCAAGTGTCCTCCACATTGTCGTGCTTTTGCTGCTTTGTTTTTGCAATGGACTGAGGAATGCTCGCCCATGTAACAAGCTCAGCAAGCTAACTAACTGAGCCTGAACATCTGAGGGCAGCCTACCTTGCATGAGACAGAGCATATTAACCTAACACACTGCAGTACCCACCTCTTGCCTTTGTGGTTCACGTGCAAATGTTTGCACCACCACCTCTGGCGGATGCACCTCAATTTGCTCGCCACCGTATCCTCTATAGGTGGCACTGTCACCCATGGACGATACTGAGCCACCGAATTCTGTCCCCTCCCAGCCTCGCCGTCGACTGGGTCTGTGCTGCTGGCCCTGCATGGCCATCCCACTCCTCTCAATGGGTGGGGTCGGAGGTGGTGTGGGCGTGGTCAGCCTGGTAGCATTGTTAGGTGGTCGGACCTCTGCCGGGGGCCCAACCAGAGACAGGATGACGGGTAGTAGGACCAATCCATTCAGGGCGCCAATGACGACGAGAGCAGTGAAGACGTAGAAGAAATAACTGCAGGGAAAAGAGAGAATAGTCAATGCTTATAAGCTCTCATGCACCGGGGATTGTATCGCATACCAAAAGGGATTCATTGGGAGCGTGTGGCCAAATGGTTAGGGTGTCGGACTGCCAGGGGTTTGAAGACTGGTTGCATGTGGTGACATCAGGTACAGTGTAGTCACTTTATCCCTTCTTGCCTCTCTCCATCAAGGAGTATATATTGACACCTGTGAAGATAGAGGCTGGATGTGCATTGATACCAGCTACTGGAATGAATCTTATGGCTCGATGAATGGTGGTAAAAATTGTAACAGTGCCTAGTACCATTGGATAAGTGCACTTCATAAATAAACATTATTATTTGACATCTAATCTGCACGGCATACCATTTTAGAAATGTGAATTACAGTACCCTCCGAAAGGCCTCATGAAAAACACTGAAATCTCTTTCTTTTCCTTATTTTAAAGCACAAATATCTCCACTCAACATTACTTAAATGATAATCAGAAAAAGGCCAACTATCATGCTTCGAACAAGTTTCCAACTAATAACAAAAGAGAAAATGTGGCGGTTGAAATCTTGTTCCACTCCTGAATTCTAACAAAACATCTCTCAATATCTGGTATGTCCAAGTCGGAAAATTCTTCATGTTCAAGAACTGCCTAAACCAAATCTTGTGCTTATGGCTTTTATATATCTCTCTTCCACATGACAAGTTAAGAAGTTTTTTATTTTGCAAAGCTTTGAGTTTGAAAATAGGGTTGGCACCCCCTGTAACAAGCACATTCCACATCGCCAGGGCTTTTCCTCTCTAGTGTTGTTTTTGCTTTAGTACACTATACACCACCACCAACCCATCATCTTAGCGTTGGGCGTCGGGCCTGACTATCCCATTGCCGACCCCTACCGTGAGCCTAAATTGACCCCTGTTGGCAGGGGCCAGAGACTGCCGAGGATTTTCACTCCTCGAGATGGTGGCTGAGGTCAGATGAACTTTTCTCCCCTCTCTCAGTTGAAGAAAAAAACTCAATCTTTAGTCGGTGGGACAGGTGGACCAATGCAGGCGTACAGACAGGGCTGAAGTTGCATGGATTGACCCAGCGAGTTCAAGGGGGGGGGAAATGACAGAGGGCCACTCGCCATAACAATTGTCATGTGAGAAAAGACTTTATTCTGTGATTTTAAAAAGCTTTCTTAAATGTACCTTATGTCGACAAAGACATTGAGAAAAGAATACACAGACAATGGTGGGCTGAAGACAAAAAGCCTTGTCCCTTTGAGACTCTGAAGAAATAGCTTTTCAAATACCACCACACGGGAGGTACATCAACTTTGCTTGAGGTTATTCTCTTGTATCAAAGTTACAGTCAGAAGCAAACAAACCAAGCTTTTCCAAATACTGAGAATGCAAGAAGTTTATCAACTATGGTGCTCTTATTATCAAACCCTCCTGCCTCGTGAAAACTACTGGTCCTGATGTACTCAAGCAAACACTGGAATATTGTGACCATGGGCAATTCTCATAGGTAAGAACAAATAAATACGTAGCAAGGATGACACCGGTCAGGCAAGTGATTGATAAAGGAGCAGGACATCAGCTCTAGGATAAGTGGGAAAAAAGACCAAGAAATGTGGGAGGGGGCAGGCAATAGGGGTGACACAGAGAGGGAAAATGGATAGCGTAGCTGTAGATCACTGTCCCTAAAGCTGGAGGACGGTGGAATGTTCTCATAAATATTTAGACAGATTTCACCTTGCTTTGGACTGGCAGTTACTCAGGATTTATTTGGTTTGGTGGTAGTGGTATTTACTGGCGGCTGTAATTCCTCCTGGAAAACCTAAACAACTTGCCAGAACTTGTAACAAATTGAAGTTGGGGGTAGATCCATGTTCCAACCACCGATGACCAGGAATTCTTCTCCCTTCTGTTTTATTGCCATAACAATATATCCCAGAACTGACAATTGTTCTCACATTTTTATAGCAAAAAGCACCTTGCAGCGGCAACGCAAGCTTCATATTTAATATCTGATAGTGACTATGGAGCTATAAAAATACAGCCAAGCAATTCCTCACAACTCAGTGGAAGTCGTTCAAACCAATATCATTCAGACGGAGCAGCATTGCTGCATTTTGTGCCTGCACAAATAACAAGAAGAGTTGGGGCAGAATAAACACAAGTGCAATCTGCCAAATGTTTTCTGACATGGGAATGTGGTCGGGAAAGGACACCCCCTGGCAAACTTGCTATCAATGGTCACTGCCACTGACAGCTGCATAAACAAAGTCCCTCTCAGACAGTTCCATTCCATTCTCTGGGGGTGCATCACCAAGGACAGTTCCCACAGGGGAAGTAGTCAGTACCTCACAAATCCTCAAAGTTTCTGGCATTTTACATGATCAACGACTAGCCAAACATCTTTGACAATTTTCTAACATAAGCGCTTCAAAGACTTTCTTTCTTTTAAAAGCCGTGAACTACCTCTTTCTGGGAAAATTAAAAAAGTTCCATCCCAGAGAGACAAATTACTTGATGATGTGCCAGCATGTCAGCATGTTGACCACCCAAGAACTTAATTTGATGTCCAAAGTGACAAAACATTGGTGGGCTCACCAAGCTGTGACCATGAACTCAGGAAACTTTAACGCAGGGTACCAACTTTCACTCATCAAAGGTGAGCCATGTAATGCCAGGTGGTATTTACTGAGGGCATCTTAAAGACAAGAAACAAGAAAAACCATCAAAACTCAAAACTCTCGCTACTCCAATAGTTGGGTACAACTTGCCAGAATATTTTGCCCAAAATCATGTAGAGCATGAGTGAACTTTCAAGTAGCGGGTAACGGCCCACAGTCGTAGATCAAATGATAACTCCAGTAACATGATCGGTATAAAACACCAGGGCAATCAGCTATATAAAGCACTAGATCCCTCGAGGCTTGTGGCGGGATCAACTGTAATAGCTAGCAATAGAACATGATTTCCCTCTGTGAAAACAACTTGGGAAAAAAGCTGTTGACTCTGCTGGGATTTCACCTATCTAGAAATGCTTAAGTTGTGGAAATTCAGCATACGCTATATAACTAAATGGTTATGAATAAAAGATCAGGCTGTACACTCAGATACTGTTGCGATCATAAACACCTCTCCAAAGAATAGAGTCAAATTAACAAACAATAAAGTAGTACATGTAGTTTGTAACATTGTCACCTTAACTGAAAAAAGTCATTCCATTCTTAATGCAAGCCAGTTTAGCCAAAAGCCAAAACTATGAAGTGACTCCTTGATTATACTGAACAAAGCAAGGTGCTGCCACTGGAAGAGCAGTGGGGGAGATTTTCCTGGAGGTGATGACCTCAGAGAATCTGGGTCAGAGGTCACACCTGAGGTCCTGCGATGACAGAGCTGGGATTTCAACAGTCCAGGGTGTCCCGCTGTTGCCAGAAACCACTTCCTATTTTTCATGAGACTATTAATGACAGGTTGGCCAGGCTAATTTCAAACCTAGAAAAATGTGGAGATATCCCCCGTCCTATTTTCAACAATTATAAGGTTGTTGCTCTGTTGCAATGAATCTGCTATTTGGTTCGCAAGCATTTGGAAGCCATTAAAAAAATGCAATGGCATTAAACAAAACAATTTTTAGGTACAATTTACATTTTTTTAGAAACTCTCAAATCTTCAGCAATTTAACATTCCAAAAAAGTTATAATTATAGGAAAAGAAAGTCTACAAACCTGGTTAATAACAAATCAGTAAAAATATAAGCCACAAGTCAAATTTGTCATCCATTAATTGCTAAGGCAACGTACATAGTGTTGGTTCATAGCAAAGCAATTTCAGAGTGATTAAAATAAAAGTTACAGTTTAATGCAGATGAGTGACAGTACGTATCAACAGCAAGAACCACTTGGGTTGACATCAGTGGTCACTACAGGAATACTGCCATTCTCGAGAGCAGGACAATGTACAAACAGAGCGTGAAATTACGGTCGGACATCACACATTTTCCGAGCACTTACTGTGTTTGTCCGAACAAAATCAAAGATGCGAGGACAAATTGTCAACACAATATATCGGATTACGGCATCTGATTTATTATTAGTTTTGTGTTAGAATTATGTTAATTACGCCCAAGGTATTCATCAGGGCTGATTGCTCATCACCGGCCCAGGTCACCTAGCGCTGGCCAAGTGTGTATATACTTCACTTGCACAGACATGAAATCACCCCATAATACTTTACGCTGTCACGTGGTGAAAACGTGCGCTATTAAGCTCTATGCATTAAACAAAGCTGCTCTGGTTCCCGCCGCACCCATGCAAAACAATGCGTGATGGAAATGTAGCAACCAGTACCAGTCTGTACTGTACATGTACTGAATGTACTGTACATAAACACTCTTCATCGGCCGTACATGTCGCGAATGCAAAAGGCTGCAAGCCGGAAAGATATCTATGCTTTGTTGCAAGAGGTTTTCTGCAAGTTAATTCACAGAACTTGGTCTCTTATTTATGTATGAATTTTCCGTGTTAATGAGTGTAATTTGAGGCTGTTCTGCTCGTGGCACAAGGTTTAGCGCCCGCTGGTCTAGGTACATCACAAATGTTTACCATGCGATACACAGACGTTGTTGGCCAATTTGCCGTCGTGATTGCCGTGATTGTGTGAATTGTTCATAATTTTCTTGTGAATTGCCGTAGGAAGAAATTTTTACATAGATTAAGACAAGTGTTCTTCACTTTTTGAGATACTTTTGGAGGCTGTCGCCCCCACTGATGCCATTCAATCGGCACAAAATTGCCCTCAAACAAAAAAATATTCCAACCTACTGACCAAAATTTTGAGAGGAACGCACAGCACAACTACATCATGTATTTTTTGGGCCTAATTAAAGACTGCATGTATGCAGTAGGCCTTAGTTAAATAACAATCATCGTGGATTCTGAGAAATCTTTGACAAGTGTTGATCTAATTCAATCACGCAAATTTATGACATGGCCTGCCCAAACACACAAACTCCCCCCCCCCAAAAAAAGTCGCAGCCTTGCGCCTGAACAAAGATCGCTCAATGCGGCTGCAGTTCTGGTAGGACCAGAAAAAAAAGTGAATTTCGACCCCCTGACACTGCACGTTACAACTTTACCTTTTAGATAATATAGCAAATCAAAGGCAGGTAGTGGCAGAACAAAATTGATTGTGTTATGACATTTTGTACGAGCAATTTCGCGCTCTGTACAAAGGTTGTTCATTTCCAAGGAAAATCATCATGCCAGGCCATTAGGCCATACAATGTAAGGCTTATTGTAATTAAGGTGGAAGAGTGCACACTAGGCAAAGATCTGCAGGTACATAGACACTAAAGCATAGTAGTAAGCAACCAGAGGTATCAGCTTACTTTAAGGACAGACTTACTAAACAAGTACTTTTTCATAAGTATATTCTCATATTCCCTAACACGAAGCATATCTTACCTGACAATGAAATCAAACTCGGAGCCAGCTAGCATGACAACACCAAGTAGGGTAGAAACTGCCCCATCAACGACAGGCGAGAATGTGTGCTCCAACGCCACAGTAACACGCTGGTTACGATCACCGATCGTCGTCAGGTAGGCCTAGAATGTTGAATCATGGACAAAAGAAAGACCCAATCAGGATGATCCACTTGTTTCAAATCAGATTTCAGCGAGGAAAAAATGGAGTTACTTGAAGCTGAGTCCTGGCAACTACTTTTTGCAATTGACAAATTGTGACTAGGTCATTAAAATGAGTTTCAAGGGCATTTGGTCCTTAATTTTCACACAGGAACATTAAGAACAACACTTCAATCTTTATTTTAACAAATCACACCATTTTAATTTTCACAATCTCATATGGACCTTTATATGGGTAAATAAATAAGCAGTTATGATAGTCTTCTGTTCTTAAAGATTAAGGAACCTGTAACTCAGAAGTACCTCTCACAGCGTCTTCTGAAAGTGGGATACAATTTTAAAACACCTTCCGTAGTGAGTACAAGTATTAAAAACAAAAAAGACGATGGTCGATCCAAACATGACCAAGGGTACCAGTCTGTTAATTATTAATACAGCAACTGCCTGAATACAACAAGGAGAAACATCAAGACGTAGTAGCCAACTGTTTCAAAGGTACTCACATAGCCAACTGTTTCAATGGTACTCACATA